CTTACAGCATAAAGCCACTTTTCAGCATAAGGTATTCTAAATCTCGAGCTTAGTCAGTTGCCTGATAACATTTTGACAAATTTAAAGAACAAGAGAATCTGATGGTGTCTCTTATAATCCAGCTGGCGTTGGCTCGTGGTTATGCACAAAGTTCCTGTGAAATTGCACACATTCCGTAAAGGTTTTGCTTAAATGTTAAATATATTCTGTGGCTGAACAGACTCTTAGATTCTCTAGTTTTCAATCTCATAAATTAAACGATGTTTTGGTTATAGAAGCTTGGAATTCACACTTGCAGTTAGTAACTTTCGATTCCTGTTTTACTAGATGAGTAGATTGCATCTGGCCATTTTATCCTCAGAAGGTAAGAACGCTGATGAACAAAGTTGGAGAATCGACTTGTGCGCAGTAGCCACACATTAGGAGAATAATTTATTGATTAAAGCTTAGCACCAGATAGCCATTGTTTCCCTGAACTTGCTGAAGATCAAAGAGAAAATTACTTACAATGCAGCTTGTTTTTAAAGAGTTGACATATATCACATGTCCTCATCAGATTTTGTTCTGTGTTCTGAGAAAAGGCTGAACTGAATAAAAATCCTTTTGAAAAAGTGACAAGGGTGCCCAACATTGCTCAGGTCCAGCATGGCAGCGAGCCTCCTTTAGGGCGCTTAAAGTCCATCCTGTCTCCACAGAGAACCACACATTCCTATCTATTCTTTTTCTTCTTCCTTAGTGGCTTCATCTCCAGTGATCCTCCCACCGACCGCCCTGGGCTACTGCAGGTGCATGCCACTGCCCCTGACCACTCATTTTAGTCCGGTTTGCAGCCCTGTCCTGACACATCTCAGAGCTCTTTGGTGACATCTTTTTAGGTCATTTATTTCATAGTCTTTAAGGTTAATTTATAACTTTCAGGCTGATCATGTAGTATTATAGTCTTAACACATTTGCCAATGTACTTCAGTGTTTACTAATTCACTTGTATTATTTAATTAAAAAATAGTCATTGCACTGATTCTCACCAGTGTTTTGTTTTTCCACTTACCTCTTGCAGTAGTTTTGTGCTGAAAGGTGGGTAGAGCAAGTTGATCTACCACACACTAAGCATTGCACAAACTGGAAATTTTGAAAACTCAAAAGTTAGACTAAATTTGAACTTTGCCTGTAGATGTAACCAACCGTCTTATTAAATAAGAAACACAGAACCAATGTAAAAGAGAAAGCCAAGAGGTCAGAGCTCAGAGCTAAAACCTTACCCTTCCTCCTGCGGTGCTCCTACCTCGCTGAAAGAGAGCTACTTCCTGTGTGTTTGTCTTTAATATAGTCTTTCTGTTCTGCCTTCTCATTGGTTGTAAACCCAAACACATGACTGCCTCGTCACTGCCTGTATATACAGCCCTCCAGGTCTTAAAGGCGTGTGTCTGCAATGCTGGCTGTATCCCTGAACACACAGAGATCTACCTAGCTCTTCTACCAAGTGCTGGGATTAAAGGTGTGCGCCACCACCGCCATGCTCTTGCTATGGCTCTAATAGCTCTGACCCCCGGGCAACTTTATTTATTAACATACAATTAAAATCACATTTCAGTACAAATAGAATACCACCATATTTGCCCATAAGTGTTAATAGTGCCTGCTCTTTTCTCTCCCTTTCTCCTCTCCTTTCTTTGCCATGGACACACTTTTTAGTTGTACATTTCTGTATTTTAAAGAGATTATGTTCATGTGGTTCAATATTAAAAAGACAGAAATGCTTAGCAAACCGCTTACAACATACTGTGAGGACTCTCATCTGCAGTGATATAGTCTGCCCACTTGCCCACTTGTGAATGTTGCCTTAGCCCTTTCAGGGCACTGTGTTTGGGTTTGTGTTTTTCAAAATTTCATCCTTCTTTTACTAAAATATAATTAGCATTAAAATATTCTGCCTGTGTGTCACTATAGGTGTGAGGTTCAGTTTTGAATGTTCTACTTTTTAAACAAACTCAGTTCCTTGGGAATGAGTACCAGTTCTTTTAAAAAAAATTTAGTCAATTAAACGTTGTCAAGGGATTAGCAAATATAATAAACATAGAAAATAATATATGAATCCTTGGATGTGTGCTTATCTTAATGCAGATCTAGGTGGATAAGAACTATTATCTGTCTGAAAATTTAAGTCCCCTAAAAAGTCGTTATGCAGGTTTAGTACTCAGTAGTTCAAAAGACAAAAATAGAACATTAGGTCTGATTCGAGCATAGGATAAATTGTTGAGCGGCATAAAAGCACTGTAGAACAGTCTGTATATTGTATGCCATCTAGTTCTATTTACTTAATTTTGAGACAGTCTTCCTCTGTAGTCCAGGCTGGTCTTGAACTCCAGGTCTTTCTGACTCATCCTTCTCAGTGCTGGGGTTACAGGTATATGCCATTACATCCGGGTGCTCTCTTTTGCTTTTGTTTACTTTCACTTTTCATTATGACCTTAGAAAACTAAAATATAGCACTTCCTTCCTCCTTTGCCCTCTTTCCCTCCTGCCCCTTGTTGCTTCTGCCAGGCCTTCCCATGCCCCCCAAATCCCTCTCAAACTGATGTCCTCTTTTGATTATTGTTGTTACATAGAAAAGTACATAAATAGATAAATACAACTTGCTGAGTCCCTTTGGTGTGTGACTTGTGTGTGGATGATTTCCGGGCTGACCACTTCCTGTTGGATAACCAGGTAGGGGCTCAACCCTAGGAGGGCTAATTCTCCCTCTCTCAGCAGTCGTTAGTTGCCTATAGGTTTTTGTCTATGAGTGGGGCCCCTTGAGAGTTCTTTGTTCTGTGTCATCATGTATTTTACATTGTCACTGTGCAGGCCTTGTTTAGGCAGCCATATTGTTGTGGTATCATGGGTGAAGCTTCCCTGTCATTTCTAGGACACAGTCTCATAGCAGACTTCCTAGTCTTCGAGCTCTTACCCTTTTTCTGTCTCCTCCTCCACAATGTTCCCCCAGCCTTAGATGCAGGAGTCCTGATGTAGATGTATTAGTTGGGGCCAGGCTTCCCACAATCCATTGATTTCTGCACATGACCCTGTTGTGGTTTTCAATAGTGATCTCCATTTGCTGTAAAGAGAAACTTCTTTGATGAGAGATAAGAGCACCACTTACCTGTGAATGTCAGGGTACATTTCAGAACAAAGGTAGGAGTCACGCTGGTCTAATAAAGTGATGGTAGTAGATTCTCTCACAAGATCATGACCTCACTAGCTCCAGGCAGTTGCTTAGGTTTCTAGTACCAGGCATGATGTTCCTCTCGTTGAGTAGGCCTTAGGTCCAATTAGACAGCAGTTAGTCACCACCAAGATAGGCGTGCTGCTCCTGCCCCCTCAGGGATGGCTCGCTGTGCTGGTCATTGTTAGAATTCACTGTTGTCACAGCCGGATGGACTCGTGGTTGCTTTCCTCCCTCAGCAGCTTGGGTTGTACTTTCTGATACTATGAAAGCTTGGGACCACTGGAAGGAGGCTTGCAGGTTATTTCCAGTTCACATCTGCAGAGTCCTGTATGTAAAGCGTGCAGTGTCTTCAGCAATAGGGACTATCTTCAACCTCTGAGAGGCAACCGAGGGCAATAGCAATGGCCTGTATTGTTTTGGGAGTCACTTTGACTACCCTGACCAACAACTCAAATGGAGGTTTCTCATGCCTAGTACTGCATGTGCGGGGAGTATCGTAAGCTCAAGTGCATATCTTCATTTAAGGTACACACACACACACACACACACACACACACACACACACACACACACACGCTTACATGTGTTGTGTGTGTATGATTTTAGGTGAATGTAAAATAATATGATTCTTTAATGCTTCATCAAATATCCTTGGTGTTATTTGCCCCTCCTCTCTCCCTTGCATTCTGTATTGATGTCTTCCTCTCCCATTTCTCCCTGTCATATCACCCGGATCCTCCTCTTCCTTCCTCTAGCCCCCCGCCCATAGTTCCTTTTTAACTTCCTGGTTTCTGAAGTAACTCCTGGTTATACTCTACTGAAGAGTTAGGAACTGCAGTTGAGAGAACATGTGGCATTTGTCTTTCTTAGTTTAGGTCACCTCATTCATTATAATCTTCCTAGTTCCATTTACCTACAAATTAATTTAACTATTTTTTTTAACAGCTGAGTGGTATTCCATTGTGTATATTTGTACCATCACACTTGAAAGGTGGAGGCAGAAGGTTTAGGAGTTCAGGGTCATCCTTGGTTGTATAACAAGTTCAAAGCTCATTTGGTCTACCTGAAACCTTGTCCCCAAAGGGGTGGGGTGAGGCTCACTGGTCAGTTACCATAGCAGAGTTCATAAGCTTCAGGTTTAGTGAGATACTATCTCAAAAAAATTAAGATGAAGAGCAGTCAGGGAAAGATGCCTGATGTCTACCTCTGCTCTCCACACACCCACAGGAACAGTACATATACCACATACAAAATTAAAAAAAAGAAATCACAATAAATAAGAAAAGAGTACGTACCCATGCTTGCTTGACTATGCCTATGGTAACTTTGGAAAGTCACAACAAGAAACTAATAAAAGTAGCTTCTGGAGTAATTAGGATACTTTTTGTTCTTTACCTTTTTCTTTTTTAAATGGCTTTAAACAGTTATTGAATTATATGAATAAATTAAGAATGAGCTTTAATTTTGTTTTAAGAATAAATTTAATTTATTAAAATTCATCTAAAAAGTAAAAATATGTATAAGTTGGAAGTATAGCACAATTGATAAGTGTATCATTTTCTTATTAAAAAATGCAAGTCCTTTGAGTATTGCAGAGAAATTTGTGGACTGAAAGATGTGAGCAGCTGTGTAGAGTCTTCCTCAGGGTTGGGGATGTAGCTCAGGAGTAGAGCACTTGCCCAGCATGGGCAGATGCTCACAGCCCTGATCCTGCCTGGGAGGAAGGAGAAAGGCTGCTTCCCTGTCCTCCGTGGCTGAGAGCTCACTGTTCTCTCTTCCCCATCCGTTTGCACAGGCTGGAGGAGTAGCGGGTGCCTCTGTTGACTTGATCTTATTTCCTCTGGATACTATTAAGACAAGGCTGCAGAGTCCCCAAGGATTCAACAAGGCTGGTGGTTTTCGTGGAATCTATGCTGGCGTCCCTTCGATCGCTGTTGGCTCCTTTCCTAATGGTAAGGGTGTCGATCCTCACACTGCTCAGAAGCCAAGATAATGGATTCATAGTCAGACTAATTAAGATGTTGCATGCAGAAAGTTCCTTATATATTACAGCTGATCTTCTGGATTTATGTTTTGTTCTTTGATTGTATATAAACAGAATGCAGAGAGTGTTGTAGATTTCATTCTAGGAGGTTTATACAAAAAAAAAAAAAGGATAAACTTTTAAAAATGGTTTTGCTGTTTAAATCCTCAGTTTAGAATCTTTAAAATGTTGCTTTTTTTTATCATAATCCTGTAGAATAGTGGTTTTAACCTTGTCTGCACACCAGAGTTCTCAGGAGGCTTTATACAGGTGTGTTGTCCTAGGTGACCCCATTGAACAGGTGAGACAGAGAGACATTGCTCTTCTTAAATTGCTCTTAGATGAGGAAGGTGCTTCACTGTGTTGTCCTGGAGACTCTCCTGCCAATGCTTGTTGTTTGGGTTTTAAAGTCTTGTTGTGACTTTTGGTATTTTCATTTGATAATTAGGATGATGTGTTTTTATTTAATCTACTTCTGAGTATATCTGTTTTCAGTCACTTACCTGATTTTAATTGTTTACCAATGGGTGCTTTATTTTTCTTTTAGATTGTATTCAGGCCCTTGCACATACTAAGCAGACAGTGTTCTCCTGAGGTGTGTCCACTTTACATCTCCCAGTTCTTGATGGATGCCTCTAATGCTCACAAGTAAACTTAGCTAACTAGCAAAAATGATGTACTGCCTGCATCCACAAAATCATGGCTCTAGGGGCTTCTTAAATCCTGGGGTTCACTTTCTCTCTTTTTTCCAGGATAATGAATGAATATGTTAACCTGATGCTCACGTGCCCGGTCTTTAAACATAGCCTTCACATGAAGATTTGTAGTGCAGAGAAAAAGTAGTCTTTCCATCTTTCTGTTGTCAACTTCACTTTCTTCTCCATCCCCTAGGAGTCACCCTGGGTTACCTTTGACTGCTAGTCTGTCTTAATTCTTTGAGTATTAGCTAATGAGCTGTTGTTGAACCCCCATTGTGTAACGCGTGGACAAAGGTACAGGGTTGTCCCAAGTAGAATGGCCTGATCCACAAGGAGCTTGAAGCCACATGGATGCCAGTGGTCCACCTGTAGGGACTGGGGTGTGTCCAGGACACTGGTGGTTTAAAACCCCAAGGCGATCCTCCTCTGTAGATAGTTTGAGGACCTTTGAGCAGGCAATCTACAAAGGAATATGCTCTGTGCTCATAGCTTTTGGTGACCAGTTTTTGTGGCTTTTGTGGCTCATCCTCATGTATTGCAGTAACAGCTCAGGCAGGTGTGACATCACTGGTGTTATATGTGGTACATGATGCTGCAGTTAAGCTCACAGGACTGTTTTACATTCTTCTCCAAGGCATTTACATATAGAACGTGATTTTGAATTTGTGTGTGTGTATGTGCACACACATATATGCACAAGCATGTACACATGTGTTTGTGTATCTGTCTGTCTCTGGGAAGGCTATGCTGAAAATCTTTTCCTTTTATCCCATAAAGTGCAGGAAACAAAGTCAAAGCAAAGCCTTCTAGAAATGGGTTTTTATAGCTGAAGTTTCTTGGTCCTGCCCGGCAGCAGCCGTTTTTATAAAATAATAACTCAGAGGCTTAATATTAATTACAAACTGTCTGGTCTATGGCTCAGGCTTATTATTAACTGGCTCCTTCATCTTAAATTAACCCATTTCTATTAATCTTTGTATTGCCACGTGTATTGCCTTTTGTATGGGTTAAGACTGTGTAGTCTGAGTACAGAATCCCTTGTAACCATAGATGGCTATGGACTTTGCTGAGAATCAAGCCAGCACAGGAGAGGGATTGAGAGGGAGAGGGGAGCCTTTTAAAGAGGCCCATTCCTTTTTAGACAAGAACATAACAGAGGAAGGCCCAGTCTGGCTTTTGTTGTTATGGGGGTGTGAGCTGTGGCTAGCCTACCTCCTCTTCCCTTCTTCACAACAGAGCTTTTGTTAGAGCTGCACCCTGTCATCATTTCCAACTCTAGAGCCTTTTTGGGTGCTACCTGTTTGGCAGGGGCTGGAACTGACATTTCACCAAAGTAGCTATAAGTGACAATCTTAAGGTACTTGTTGATGGGACCTGGGAACCTTTAGCTTCCTCCTTTCTCCTGGGGTGGGGCAGGGCTTAGGGGGTATATGCACCCACAGAACATACAGCTGAGTGCAGCAGAGCCCTTTTACCTGGAAATGGAGTCAATGGGCCAAAATTGGGGAAGCGTGTGAGGAACCACATGCGGGAATAGACCAGACGCAGCTCCATACGTGCGGCTGTTGTGTTTGTAGTTAGGCGTGTGGGCAGCCTGTGGGTCCTTCACACACTGGCTGACTTTGGGGAATGCTTTCCATTGTTGGGTTGTTTTCATGAGTGTTTAGTGATCTCATGTCCTTCAGAAGATGAGTTTGTTGTCCGCTTATCCTCTGTGCCTTGTCTCTTCTGGAAGAGGTAAAGACATCTCTTGATTGATAGTGCACAGGAAGTTTAAAGCCTCCTGTGCCACCCTGATTACAGCAGTAGAGGCAGCGTTCCGCTGATTTCCTCCTTTTCTTCTGTTTCTTAGATACAGTCTCACTGTAATGTGGCTGTCCCGGAGCTTGCTGTGTAGACTAGACTGGCCTCAAACGCCAGAGGTCAGCCTGCCCTGCCTCCAGTGTGCTGGGATTCCAGGTGTGCACTGCCACGCCTGGCACTGACTTCCGTTTTTTAATGAAATTGTTGATTGTTTCCGTGTTTTATAAAGATGATTTCAAGTAGGGAAAAGTAGCATAGTTATTTTCCATAATCGGTAGTAAACATTGTAGCATCGACATTTTACTTAAGGCATGTGTTTATGGTTTTAACCTATGCATAACTCAGCAGCTGCTTGTGTTTATGACTATATGTAATGCTATTTTGGGTCTGAAGCCCACAGTCCTTTTTAAGAAGTTTGCTAGGAAATGAAGCAGGGCAGTGCCAGGCTACCAGTTGAGTGCACCTCAGAGAGGAATCACGTCTTCTGTATTTCTCCAAGTCCAAGGTCAAAAATGTAGTTCAGGTTGGATAAGTTCTGCAAGATGGTGGAAAAAGGTGTGTACTTGCCAGTCCTTATCTCATACTTTAATTATTATCGTCACAGCTTTTGAGAGACATTCCTAAGTAGGTGAGATATTTATCGACATTGAAAAGATATTTTTGTATTTCAGCTGCTATGTTTTTTCTCACCTATGAATATGTGAAATGTTTGCTGCACGCTGACTCGGCTCCACACGTCAGGCCCGTGAAGCACATGCTGGCCGCCTCCGCGGGAGAAGTGGTAAGCAATGGGCGACGTGAGAAAATATTGCAGAAATGTGAGTGATGTCTGGGTTGGTTGGTGCAGGTAACTGTTTCATTTTTAAAATTTAGATTTAACTGATAGATAAAAATTAAAAATCGTATCTTTTAATGTAATGTTTTAAAATGTATATATTGTATAATGTTATGTACATTATTTATTTATTTTGGTGCTGAGGATCAAATTCAAAGCTTTTAAAATGCTAGACAAACTGTATCACAGTATCAGATTCTATCGTGTAATGCCTATATCAGAGTAGACATATTTATCTCCTCGAAATGTATTTATGTGAGTTTTATTTTTTAAAGCCCCTCCCCTTTGAGTCAGGTGGTATTACTGTGTTCAAGACTCAAGTTGGTCTTGAGCTTGTAATCCTTCTGCCTCAGCCTCCTGAGCACAAAAATTACAGCTATGTGCCACCACACCAGGCTCTAACAGTTCTTTTTGTGGGTATGTGTGCATTTAGGTGTGTGTGTGTGTGCTGTGTATACACAAGTGTGCCTGTGGACCTGTGCACACCCCTGTATGTAGCACCAGGAGAGGACAATGTTGGGTGCCCTGCTCTCTCTCTCTGTTTTATTCCCTTGAGTCAGGGTCTCCCACTGAAGCTGGAGCTAGGCTTGTGGCTAGCAAGCCCCAGCCATCATCCTGTCTTCATCTCCAACAGTTCTGGGCTCACAGCGCATGTGTCACATCCAGCTTTTTAGGGTGATGCTAGACCCTCAGCTTGAGTCATCTCCCTAGCCTCCACTGTTTGGGGTTTGTTTGTTTTAATTATGAAAGTGGCAAAATCCCAATAAATATGTGCTGTGGGATGTTCTGTATGTCCTGTGGGAGCCCGTTCTCGGGTTCCTCATGGCTTTACCCAGCAGGTCTGCAGAGAGGATGATTAGGACCACGGGCCTGAGTGCAGGTGTCTGAGATGGTCTGCACTTGGCTGTGCTGTGGGATGGTCTGTATGTCAAGTTGCTCTGATTGGTCAATAAATAAAAGCCGATTGGCCATGGCTAGGCAGGAAGTATAGGCGGGACTAACAGAGAGGAGAAATAAAAGAACAAGAAGGCAGAAGGAGTCACTGCCAGCCGCCCGCCAGGGCAAGCAGCATGTGAAAATGCCGGTAAGCCACGAGCCACGTGGCAGGATATAGATTTGTAGAAATGGATTAATTTAAGCTATAAGAACAGTTAGCAAGAAGCCTGCCACGGCCATACAGTTTGAAGCAATATAAGTCTCTGTATTTACTTGGTTGGGTCTGAGCGGCTGTGGGACTGGCGGGTGACAGAGATTTGTCCTGACTGTGGGCAAGGCAGGAAAACTCTGGGTACAAATATGAATGGATTAAACATGACAGTTAAAAGATAGTCTATGATGCAAGAAAAATCCATTGTATGTTATTGTAAGAGGCAGCCATCAAATGTCATTCTACAGATAGAATTAAAGAGATGGAAGATGTCTGTGTAAGTTTGGTTGGTGGTGTTTGTATTAACGTAGCTGAGTTGGAGCTACTTTTCCCAGAATGGCTTCTACAGGATGGTTTCGGGTAGTCAGTCAGTCACAGAGAAACTAAGGTAGAGTGGAGAGTAGCAGCTGTGGTTGTGAACAGAAGTGTGGTGCAGGGGCAGGCACGGTGGCACATTCTGGCCCCGGTGTCACTGCCTGTTGGCTTGCTCCCATCCTTCCCTCTAGCTTCTCTAGAGTCTGAGTCAAGTTGTGTGTATCTGTGGTGAGGGCTTATCTTGGGTAGGGTGTGAAGAGACACCATGACCACGGCAACTCTTATAAAGGAAAACATTTAATCAAAGTGGTGGCAGCTTACAGTTCAGAGGTTCAGTCCGTTGTCGTCATGGTGGGGAGCATGACAGTGTGCAGGCAGACATGGTGCTGGAGAAGGAGCTGAGAGTCCTGCATCTTGCAGGCAACAGAAGTGGATTGTATCACACTGAGTGAAGCTTGAGCATATATGAGACCTCATTGCCCACCTCCACAGGGACACACTTCCTCCAACAAGACCATACTTACTCCAGAAAAGCCACACCTCCCAATAGTGCCACTCCCTTTGAGGGCCATTTTCTTTCAAACCAGCACAGGGTTCTAGGGTCGAGTGTGTGTGTGGTTCTGGGTGAAGGCTCTAGGTACAAGTGTGTGTGGCTCTGTGGTGAGGGTGCTAGGGTTAAGTGTGTGTGTTCTGTTTGGCATCATTGTTAAGAAACCGTTACCTAATCTGGTATTATTCTTTGGGATGCAAGTATTGAGTTTTCTAATACCTTTACTGGAAAGACTCTTGCTGTACACTGAGTGGCCCCAGAGTTCTTGTCAATAGCTTATTGGCCATCAAGGTGAGATTTGTTTCTGGATTCTGAGCTCTGGCCTATCCCTGTGTGTGTCCTTGCACTAATACTACATGGTTGGAGTACTATAGCCTTGAGCTAAGTCTGGAAATCCTGAGACTTCTCCAAATGCTTTCTTTTTCAGTATTGTTCTAGCCTCCCTTTTCCCTTTCTCCTGTCCTTTTTCTTTTTCTCTCTCTCTCTCTTTAATTTATTTTATTATTATTATTTTTGAAGCAGGGTCTCACTATGTAGCTCTGGTTAGCCTGGAACTCAATATGAAGTATGCTGTATTGTTTGGCTTCAAATATAGTTTCATAAGTTGTGCATTTGACCTGTATTTCCCAATATGTTGTTGAAAGCAAGAAGCACAATAGGACTTAGCCATTCACTTCATTTCACCTTGACCTTGTTGCCTGAGACCTTGTTGCTAAACTTTATTCAGTCGCCGCACTCCTTTGAGCTTACGGAAAGATTTTATAGAGGTATGTCTTGGTTGCTGCTGTCTGCTGTGGCCATCATAGTAATCTAATTCATCCGAAAGGAGGAAGAGTTTATTGTGGCCCATGGTCTTAGAAAGTTTCAGGCCGTCATGGTGGCGAAGGAATGGCAGGACAGCTCAGTTGGTGGTGACAGGAGCCTCTGGCAACTAGGTACAGAGAGCGAGGCAAGAAGGACCGAGAGCAGAGGCAGCCTTCAAAGCCTACATCTGTGGAAGCTGTTGGAGGGGCTGATGCTTCTGAGAGCTGTAGTTACTCTTTTTATTTATTGGAGCTTTTCAATAGAATTTTCTTGTGCAGACTGTTGGACATGGTGGGACATTCCTGATTCCTTAGAATTAGGAAGCATGCAGCCGTAAGAGTGAGTACACAGCATTAGGACATGCATAGTTAGTATTCTCTTAGGGGTTCCTCCATGACTCCCAGAGGGGCTTAGGAGGAGAACTGACCCTCAGGGGTGCATGAACTGAGGCCTTGGGGCCTGAGACATCTCTCTATGTGGACTTGTAGTTGATTTAAAGCTCCTTTATTGGGAGTGTGGCTGGAGAGAGAGCTCAGTGGTCAAGTGCATGTACTACTCTTCCAAGGACCTGAGTTCCGTTCCCAGCACCCACATCAGGCACCTCACAGTCAGATGTAACTCCAGTTGTAGGGACCTGACACCTTTGCCCACTGTGGCACCTTCCCTCTCCTGCAAATACCCACACATGACACGTAATTAGAAATAGTAAAAAATATGTGACAGAAAAACTCATTTATTTTGTTAAAAAGTTTGCTATATTTTCGATGGCATAGATGATCTCCAGGCCTGCCCTTCCTGACGGGCTATCTGCTAGTTACTGGGGAGTGAGGACCATTCTCTTTTGAGAATGTGGCACCGGTATGTGTCCTTTGTTCTGGTGGGTGGTGCCACATTTGTACATATGTGGGCATATGACTCGACTTAGTGGCTTATTAAAAAGACCTGTTAAAGGAACAAATGGAGCTTAGGGACAGATACGATCTTATTTCCTACATGTCTGAATTTCTCATGAAAAATACAAATTTAAAAAAGTTTGCCAGATTTCTCAAGTTTATGGAAGTACTGTTCTGAAGTGCTAATAGTCTTGGAACTTAACTGGAAAACCTCCCTGAAGTTCAGAATCAGTTCTGTCAAATTGTTTAACAAGTATACATATTACTTCCTTCCTGTTTTAGTATCTTGTTTCCATTTCATAGAACACAAACTCTGGGGTTCAGTTTCATGTAAATGTGCTAGAAGTAAGAGAAAGAAACAAGTGGATGTAGGGGAAAATACAATTTCGTATGTAAAATAAAAGGAACAGAAAATCCTTAGCAGTCACTGCTCAGAGCTGCAGCAGCCTGGCTCATAAGGAACAGCTCGGTGCGCCAGTACTGGGCAGCACCTTCACGTTGATCCCAGCTTGTTATGTATGCCGCAGACAGACCCTTAGAAACAATGCCGTATTTTGTTGCTATTGAATATATCCACAGTTTCTTTGTTGTAGCGACAATAAAGGCAACTTGGAGAGAAAAGAACACTGCCACAGTAATAAGCATTCCCTGTAGCTATAGCGGCCACTCGATTAAATGTTAATGATGAATCAATATGACTTTAATCACAACCTTCTGCCTTCTGCTTCCAATTTGGAATACAGAGAAATCGATCAAATAAGATTTAATATGTAACCACAGCAAGAAGAGTCCTGTTTGTGCCATTTTTATTAGGAAGTTTGCTGTACCAAACCTCTAAATCCCTACCTCAATTTTTTCCAGCCCAGTTTTCATCACACACAGAACAAGCCCTGTGAGAAGCAGAATCCATAATGAGGTCCAAGCACGGCAGCTTTCCCTTAATGGTGTGGGCACCGTAATCTAGCAGTGGTGATGTTCTTCAGTGGTTTTCAGATTTTACTTTTCTTGAATCTTCTGCTTCTTGGAGCTTGGTTTCTGTTACTTTTAGAAATGGAAGGACATTGAAAGTTCTTTATATCCAAAAGGAGGCCCATGTGAATTAAATGTATGCACAATGACATAGAGGTCCCCCACATGGATGCTGGTTGATTGTCCTTTTCAGGCCCATTCCCGCTTAAGACTGAAACACCTAGGGGACACATTAGATCCTGTTTTGTACATGCCATTCTGTCCCCTT